TATTTATTAATTTTTATTGAGGTCAAAATGAAGTGTTTAATCCTCAATGCAACTAGTTATGATGACTCAATGCGAAGAATTCGTGGGACCTTATAATCACGTCCTAAACTTCTCCCTACACTTTTCCACCGAAAAAGTTTCATGTACGCTTTACTATTTAAGACATTACTCATTACCATATGTACTTTACGCAAGTTGAAAGACTTGATATTTATAGAAGGCAAAAAAAAAAAGCAACAGGCCCCACTTCCTGGCGGCAAGCCCGATATCATAGAAAGTATCACGTGTCATATATTGTGATTTGATATATATATATATATATATTTTTTGTAATTTGTTTTTTTATTCTTTTCTTTGTATTTTTTGTTTTTGTTTTTGCTCTTTTTTCTGATGTAATTTTTTCCAATCTGATTGTTTTTTCTTATTCTTATTTTTATGTGGATTTAGGAAATAATCTAATAGATTACTAGCATTAATATAGCATATTACTCCAATTGGCGCCGATGACCATCGTCATAGATTACAAGAGTTAATTTTGAAGATATACTCTTTAGCAGTCGGAGACGAAGAAAGACATTAGACTGCTAACGGGTCAAATTTGTTAAAGAAAGTCAAAATAATACGACAGATTACTGGTGAATATGTGATAATCTCTACTAGCAAGTAGCAACCTGTGACCAACAACAAACCATCAATGAAAAAAATTGTCGAACTTATCTTTAAAATATATGAGTCTAAATTTTTATTTTTTACTTTTAATTAATATAATTATTTAATTAAAAATGACATTAATTAAAAATAAAGAATAAAAATCTTAAATTATACACTCTTAAGTATTTATTTTCTTTTCCCCAGCCGACGGTTGCTGTTGATTACACGTACGCTTTTTAGATTACCGGTCTGGTGATAATCTGATAGATTACCATTGACTAGTAAGATCAATTTAAATAAAACATGTTTTGCTATTCTTTTGACTGATTCTTTGAGGCGGCTGAAATCCGAACCCTCTATTGAAGCGGCGGAAATCATAAGTCATAACATGCCTAATTTATGTGGCAGTCATCAAGTTTTCTCCTAATTACTTAAGTACTACAAGTAAATATCTAGAGCCCAAAACAAGTAACCAGTTAGAATCATCTGAAATTTTCCCAGGAGAGATGATTAATTTCATGTTTGTATATGGTAACTGTTGGGGTATATGTCCATAAATTAAATAAGATGTAAATATTTTTGTTGATTATTAATAGAATGAAGAATTTTTTAATATTGATGTTTTATAAATATAAAAAATTCTTAGATTATTTTACATGTAACTTTAAACATTGTATATAAGTGTTATATGCAGAGGATAATGTTTGAAGTAAAATAATCTAAACTTGTCCGTAATTATAAATTAAAGTTAGGATGTTTAATTTAAAATTATTAGTGCGGTTCATTACATTCTGAATGAACTAATCTTATCCTATATTGTTAATAATGAAATTATTGGAATGAAATGCCTTGTTCACCTCGCGGATTCGAGTTTTCAATTCAAGCTGAGATGTGACATTTTATGAGAGCTTTTTACTGTAACAGAAAAAGTTAGATGTGATATTTTCTGAGAGCTTTTTACTATATAAACTTAAAACTGAAAACTCGAATCGGTGAAATGAACGAGGCTATGTAATATGATTACATAGGACCGGAACGCGATTAATTATGAATTTCTAATAAATTCCGTTATTAAATAGAGCATTCAATATTAATCAATGATGGTCATATATAAATTAATCTTAATTCAGAGTAATTAATAGACTCCTATTTATGATATTATGTTCTTTGATATATTGAGTAATGACACATATGAATAGTATCAAAGTCTTGGTATATTGAGAGTATAGTAAAATAAATAGCTGAGAATATTAATTTACAAGATGAAATCCATTCCTTCATAATGAAGTAGATGAATGGTTCTCATAAATGTTGATTCGAGGCTTGAATAATAAGAGCGCTCAATTTTATGATTGGATCATAAAATATATTATTCATTAGAGGATCAATGATACTTATGGAGAAAAATATAATTAAAGAGGTCAACGGAAAATTCTTAGCTTTAATTATGAACCGTTTATGGAGGATTAAATTGTATGTAGAGACTATATCAATGGACAACACAAATTTCGTAAAAATAATTGTTTTATAATTTTAAAAGTGTAATTATAAATTTATAGTGGAGTAATTTAGAATTAATAATTTTAATATGTTAATTAAGGTGTTAATTAATTATTAAAATTATTAGAACTTAAAATTATAATATCTATAATTTCTCTCAACGATTCCATAAGATTAATATAAACTGTATATATATATATATCATATTGGATTATGATAATTAATTTATAATTGAGAATTTTAAATACATATATTAATTAATTCCATTAATTAATATTGAAATTAATTTAAAATTGTTTTAAATTGTTATAAAAGAGAAAAAAAAAATTTTACTCTCAATTTTTTTTCTTCTTTCTCATTAATACTCAAATAAAAAATAAAAATAAAAAAAAGAGGAGAGTGAGGAAACGTGTTGTTGCACGTTTTCTCACAAAAAGGCCAAACAAAAGACGTGTAACGGCACATACAGTGAAAGTTTCAGAATAGGAACTGCTCGGATATTTGAAGCACAGATAGAAATGTGAGGTTTCTGATATAGAAAAAAGGTACCGAATATTTTTCAGAAAAAGTGAGGAAGAATTAAAATAAAATAAAAAAGCTAATAAGAGATATCACATATTTTTTTTAAAAAGTGAGTGATAATTATAAATAAATAATTTATTTATTTATATCATGTATTGAGAAACTCATTAAAAAGTTTACACATTTTTGACTTTATATTAATCTAGAGAAATGTTGAGAAAAAATCACAGTGTTTTTGAAATTTTAAAAGCTCAAGCCGGTATTAAAGAAGTTTAAAATTAACGTCTGAACGATAATAAAAATCTTCTTTTTCTTTTTAATTTATTTGTAATTAAATTAATATAAAATAATAATCATATTAAATTTTAATTTATGTGATTTAATTAATACAACGCTTCAGGATAAATTTTTGAAAATCCGGTTTGAGAAACCACGAGTAACAATTCCAAACAAAAAGCTTGGCGTTAGCCTGCGACATATATTTCAATGGTATATGCCATCCTTACTTTTAAGGAAATAGAGAACAAAATTGCGTAAAAGTGTGTTTTTTCACTTTCAATTTTTAGTCGGTGCGGTTGGTAGCTTACTTTTTAATGTGTAGCTTTTCCATTAGCCGAAATGGAAAAAGATGAAGAAAGGTGTAATTTTTTTTTTTTTTTTGGATAATTAAGAAAGGTCTAATTTTTTTTTGGATAATTAAGAAAGGTGTACTTTTGTTTTTTGTGCCTGTGACTCTGAGCTTATGCATATCGGGTATCCCTAACAAACCATACCCAATTATTTCAAAGTCTTCAGGAATCATATATATATATATATATATGTATTATGTATGTATATAAGATATATCGGACTCTATTTGATTATAATTTGATTTCCAATACGGAAGAAAATTGCCCACAATCCTTTTTGGCTTTTGCGCTAATCAAAATGAAAGTGGACATAGATGTCTTTTGATTTTACAACAACCAAAAACTTTTGAATCATGACACGAATCCATCAACTAAACGCACTAAAATATATTATTGATCTTTTGACATTTTTTTAATTAATCAACAAATAAAAATAGTTATTTCAGAAAATATTAGATTTATTTTCATTACTCGCAACGCTTTAGGCGCTCAGCTAACTAATAGAATTTTGGTAAAAAGGTTGAAACCAAAACCTCGTTATTATAAGCCGCAATAAGACGTTTAAGGGTCGTTAGTTAAGTCCAGTAATCACAGAAAATAATTAAATAGAAAATGTCTCTTCGCATATTTTACCACAACTAAACTACCTATTAGTTAATAACGTTGTTAAAAAAAAAAAACCCCCCAAGTAACATTTATTAAAACCCGTGAATTATAATATTCTGAAGCATCAGGATTGTTACTTTAGTTTCAATGAATTAAATAACTTTTTTCGTTTAGTGAAAGGATTACTTTGTCTCTTGCTAAAATAAGGAATTAAATAACTTTTTTCGTTTAGTGAAAGGATTACCTTGTCTCTTGCTAAAATATGGAAATATATAGGCACCCCACCATGCAAAAAAGTACGTAGTTTTAAAAGTATACTTTAAAATAGACGCAGGGTAAATCTTTTTAATTAGTTAAGGAGAGGATAAATTAATTAATCTTAGTTAATTACTTAAGGTGAGGCTAAATTATACACCTATAAAATCTAATATTCAAAATATATTTTTCAGAAAGATAATAATTTTTTAATAATTTAAAAAAAAAAAAAAAAAGGAGACCAAGTCACGATTGGGTCACTTTATGTCTACGAAATTCCCTTAAAAGTAAAAATACACTGCATCAGACTCTAATATATTATGTTTTGACTTTATCGTAATCAATCTTTCGTTGCATATAAACATATAAGTTGAGATAGTGATCAGATGATGATCATCAAAATTAAAATATAAATATGATTTATGACGTGAGATAGTGATCAAGAGGGAAGGGTAGAGTTGGTAAATAGGGAAGAATTGGAGGCCAAATGTGGAACGTCCCATAACAACCTGAACGAGCAAGTGGCGGAGCCTCGGGGGACTTGGATCCAACGTGAATTCGTATCATGCAAAAATCTGTTATAGAGAGATAGAGAAGAGAGAGAAAAAGAGAGTTTTTTTTAAAAAAAATTCAAATTTCAAAGCTTTTTAATCACTCGAAAATCAAAATATTTTCCCTAATTCAGTTAATTGTGAGATAAAACCTTGATCATAATATCCAAAACGAAGAGATAAAATAAAATGAAATTCGAACTAGAGATTATCAATTATCAAAGTCGATATCCTTATTAGAAAGTTCACTCACAACACACAAGTATATATAGGGGGTCATCTGTGATCTTTTCTCATTACTTTCTATTGAGATACTCTCGCTCTACTTTCTCTCTCTCTCTCTCTCTCTCTCTCTCTCTCTAAGCGTCGAAGATGGTGCTCTCCGCTGACGCTGCTCGCACTGTCGTCGGTATCATTGGTCAGTACTTCTGCTACAAAACCCTAGTTATGGCGTCTATTTGATCTTTTTTTTACGCCAAATAGTGTTTGAATTTTGTTTTTCTTTGATTATCGATCGGTATTTTTTTTTTCTGCTTTGGATTCTACCACGTTCTTATACTATCGTTTCTTTTGTTGGTGTAAATTGTTTTGCTCTGACAGTTATATTCAAGTGTTCTTCTAAAAAATATTTTTCCAAGTATTCTTGTTCTTCTTCTGTTTTTAAATCCTATACATGGAGACGATTCTAAAAGATATATATATATATATATATAAATAATATGTATGCACTGTCTTGTAATATTATAATTATGATTTTATTCGTTTGAGTTAAATATTTCTAAATGTATAAGATCTTATATTGATTATGTTTTTTTTTTTGCTCATCTCTGCGCAGGGAATGTCATCTCCTTCGGACTGTTTATTTCTCCAGTGTAATCTCTCTCTCTCTCTCTCTGTTGAATTATTAATTATTGTTTTGCTTTATATTTGGAAAGTTTCTTTTTTTTTTTCCAGATCTTAATTAACTTTCCCGCTATGCTCGATTGAATGATCACTTTTAATCCATCGCTTGATCATCATTATGTTTGTGTCAAATAGCTGCGTTTTAGATCATACTGACCACTTTGATTCACAAACAGATCCCCACCATTGATTTATTATTTTTCCTATTCTGGAATATCAATTTTCTTCACGTTTTTAATTTTATCCTCTTTCACTTAAATAGTGAAAAATCAGAAAAAAGAGGTTATTTATTTGTGTTTGATTTGTAATAATAATAGGCCAAATCCTATATTTTTAACTCAATTATTTCTTCGTGATAGTTTTTTTTTTTTTTTTTTTTTTTCCTGAGAATTTTCTTGATAATAATTGATAGTGACTTATATGTATGTGTTTAATGGGCAGTCCACGATAATGTATGTGTGTCTATCTTAATTATGCAAGTTTTCCGAACTCTCGTCGCACCAACTCTCTCTAAAAATAGTCAAAACTAACACACACATTTTCAATTGTTGCACAATGTTAGGATATTTTTCCTGCATAAATTCAATTTGCATGACACATCATTGACTACCAGCAAGTACCATCAATTATAAAAACTTATATAATGACACACACACACACACACTAATAACAGAACATAAATATAATATTTTTGTCATCATAACGATCGTTCCAAATTGTCTAGTATATATGCCTAGCAACTTAAATACTACAAGTTGTGTATATGTATATATATATATATGTGTGTGTGTGTGTGTGTGTGCCTTTATAATAACATGATTTTTTTTTTCTAAATTTTGCAGCCCCACATTCTATCGGATCATAAAGAAGAAGTCAGTGGAGGAATTCAAGCCCGATCCTTATCTAGCAACAGTGCTCAACTGTATGCTGTGGATCTTCTATGGAATGCCATTTGTTCATCCTGACAGCCTTCTTGTTGTCACCATTAACTCTGTTGGGTTAGTTTTCGAGCTCATTTATTTGGGCATTTTCTTTATCTACGCCAAGAAAGATGGACGTGTAAGTACTCAAAATTTTCTTTGAATATTGGCGGATATAATTGATTAATTTCTTTATTCATTTGTTTTTATGATTTAAATCTGATTTTTGTTTTGTTGGTTCAGAAAAAGGTGGCCTATTGGCTTGCTGGTGAAGTTCTCTTCTTTATCGCTGTTGTTCTGTTGGGCCTGTTGCTATTCAACGACACTAAGACGAGGTCTCTATTTGTTGGGATTTTCTGTGACATTCTCAACATCTTGATGTACTTTTCTCCTCTTACCATCATGGTAAGTACTACTTCTAAATTCTAAAAATACCCTTGATCAGATTTCATATTTTTTGCGATCTTGAAATTAATTTGAATTTTTTTTTTTCAAAATTTACCTTCTAATCTTATGATTTGCTTTTGGTCAACAGAAAAAGGTTATCGTGAACAAGAGTGTGGAATACATGCCCTTTTATCTTTCTTTGGCCAACTTCCTCAATGGTTCCGTTTGGACTGCTTATGCCCTTATCAAGTTCGATATCTATGTGCTGGTAATAATTACTCCAATCTCCCATAAAAAAATCCAGTATTTTAATCTTAGTTAAATGTGTATATATATAACATTTAATGTATGTTTTTGCAGGTGAGCAATGGTCTAGGTGCAATTTCCGGAGCTATTCAACTCATCTTGTACGCCGTCTACTGCAGGTATACACCAAAACACGGTGACGGCAAAGGTTCAAAACAAAGTGAATTGGAGCTCTCTACCAACACCAACTTACAAATCGAAACGGTCTGATCAGCCAATGCACAAATCGAAACGGCCTGATAAGCAGTGGGCTAATTCTGCTACTATTTCAATATTTGGTTACAGTTTTGTTAGGATTTAGGATCATTCTTTTTGCATTATTCTGATAGGTTGTTTTTTTTTTTTTTTTTTTTTTGGGTTTTTTTTTTTTTTTTTTTTTTTTTGGTGGGGATATATGGGGTTTTAGATTTTGATTTCCATTCTTGGAAATTGTAGATAGATTTCTATAAACCCGGATGAGATACTGCTTTCGTTGATTATATATTAAAGTTTAGCTGTTTTGAGTTTCTTTAGTTCAATGTCTTGTGTGCCTACTTTTTGTGGTTATGCTAATTGGGCCAGCAAAAAAAAAAAAAAAAGTTTATCTCTCAAGATGATTTACCGAAAAATAATGATAATAGTAGTTAAAGAAGAAAATGAGGAGAGAAACTTATAATCTTTAAGAAAGAAAATGAATTTTATAATCCCTTACTAAAAAAAGCATTCCTTTTTGTAAATTAACAAAAGTAGTATGTTTGAATATCAAACTCTTATTCCTTTGTAGTACATTAACAAAAGTAATGAGTTTGAATACCAAATTCTGAAAATAAGACTACTCTTATTCACCCAAGGCCTATGGCGCATGGCGGTGAGTTGCGAGGCCCATGCACCCTCCATGAGCAATGAGCCGGGCTTGGAGTTTGACATCTTTATTGGGCTTTCATCACAATGGCCATTAATTTCTCCCCAGATAAATAGGCTAAAACTTGAGATCAATTAAAATTAATACGTTAATAATTTACATAAGTTAATAAATAGGTTAAATTACTGTTTTCATCTATAACTTGTCTAGTTATGAACCATAACTTAAGAAGTTATTCCCGGTTTTTATCCATAACTTGTCTGGCTATGAACCATAACTTGATAAATTTGTCCATAACTTATCTGGTTATGAACCATAACTTGACAAGTTATGACCTATTAATTTCTATAACTAAAAGTTAACCTATATACTTTCTTAAGCTTTTCATATTGGCCTATTTCCTACCATTTCTCCTAATTGCAGTGGTATTGTTTTGAGTAAATACTACTCATCTTTTTTATTATTTAAATGCCTACTACGTTTAATTCATCCATTTAAAATTAAAAATTAAAATTATGATTTAAAATTATTCTTAGTAAAAAAAAAAATATTATAAAAAATTATAAATTATAATTTAAAATTATAGACAAATAAAAAAATAAACATCCCTAAAACACTCCTGAAGCGGTTAAAACTTTTGAAAATATCAAAATTATCATTTCCAACCTTTATTAATTTATCCATGTATTTATTTATTTTCCAAAACACCCGAAAAAAAAAAATGTGAAAAATGAAGGTGAAAACGTAACTTACATCTTATCCAGAGCATGAGGATGATGACTAACTTGCAAGGTCCGTCTTAAAAAACCCGACCAACCCCACACCGCAACCTTATCCTCTACTCATCAATCATCCAATTCCCTTTTCCTTCTCTATCGCAGTATCGCTCTCACATCAGCAGCAGCAGAGCCTCATATCATATCATATGTTTTCTCTCTCCTTGTTTTCATGTGACACCAACTGATGTTATAACATCTGCCTTCTTAAGAAGATTCAGTAAAAGAGCAAAAATGTCGTCCATGATCTCCTGCCACCATTTTGCCTCACCCATTACCGCTACCACCCCAAAACTTGGATTAACACCCACCAATTGTTTTCGCCTCTTAAAGACCAATACTCTCAACAACTCTTCCTTCAGGCAACTGGGTATTCGCTGTTCTTCCCAAATCCCGCCACAGTCTCACCTCCACAATGAACAGGTCTGACTTTCTTTTTTTTTTTTTTTTGGTCTGGGTTTTGTTCATTTTTTGAAATTTATGCGTTTTTTGTGACAAAATCTGATTTTTCCCCTCTTTTTTTTTTTACAAGTCTATGTAAAGTCAACTGCTTGGGTATGCACATAATGTCTACAAGCTCAGTTTCTTGTTTGAGGATTTTTTTTTGTTCAATTAAATTAAGACCTGTTAATTTCTCTTTGTGGGCAACAAGCTTTAGAAATGGATATTAGGAAAATTGGGTATTCTAACTTCTAAGTGAAAATTAGACTGCAATGTGCAAATAGAGCTCATCAAGAGTTTTTGCTTATTTGGGCAGAAAGGGAAAAAATTCTCCTTGAAGGAATGTGCAATTACTGTAGCTTTAGCGGTTGGATTGATGACCGGAGTTCCTGCATTGGGTTGGTCAGGCAATGCCTACGCTGCTAACCAGGCATTTTCTGATGTTTCTGTATTAATCTCTGGTCCACCTATAAAGGATCCAGGGGCATTGCTGAGATATGCTCTGCCTATTAATAACAAAGCAATTAGGGAAGTACAGAAGCCACTTGAAGATATAACCGAAAGTCTCAAGGTTTCCGGAGTCAAAGCACTTGATTCCGTTGAGAGGGTAAGACAATAAGACCTTTTCTTGTGTTTGATAATGTTTTAGTTTCCTTTTTTATGCAACTCTTATGTGTTCAAGGAAGTCTAAACACGTGATAACGTGATCAGAATTTGCGTGTTTAGAATGTGAGGCAGGCTTCTCGGTCCCTCAAGCAGGGGAAGAATTTGATTGTATCGGGATTAGCTGAATCAAAGAAGCAACATGGAATTGAACTTCTTGACAAGCTAGAAACCGGAATTGAAGAGCTCCAACAGATTGCAGAGAATAGGGAGAGGGACGCAGTGGCGCCAAAACAGAAGGAGCTACTTCAATATGTTAGCGGGTGAGCATATTAATCAACTGTTCAGTTATTGAATACTGAGGGTTGGCCTTATAGGATTAAGCTGACCTCCTGATCAAGAGTCCGCAGGAAGAATAATATTTAACATTTTGCAACCTTTTTAGGTAGAGTAAAATCCATACTGCGGGGTTCTGACTTGTACAAGTTCAATGACCTTTACTAGTACCATATTTGGATAGTTATCCTACATTAACAAGAATTTCAGGACAGTTATTGTCTTCCACCTGTTTAAGGCTCTTTTTCCGAGAAGATAACCAACTAGTGATGTACTAGTTACAACATAATCATCCCTCATTTCCTCATAAACACTGATCTTCCTGTTTTATTTAAGCCTGCAACTTCATGTTGACAAGTGAATACAAGACAATACCATCCAACACCACTTCAACTTGTTGTACGTGGGGTCAGCCAATTTTTATTACTTCCAAAGCCATATCCTTTCAGGGTTATCCATCTTGATTGACGCAAATTAGGCAGGACTTTTGCCTCCGAAGGAAAACTCTGAACTTTTTATTAGAGCAATCCCAGACTTCATTGAAGAGTGTAATGCTTGTTGGTGTCAAAAAATTGTCCAGCATGGAAAAGTAGTGCTGTAACAGCATCCTGCATGGAAAGCTGTTGCAGTAGTTGAATGATGGAAGGGTTACGAATTAATGGCTTATAAGGACTGCATCCTATTTGTTAACATAGAAGATGGAAAGGACTTAGAAAAGTTGGCCCCTCTTAAGATAATGTGTCCTCATATATACCCTTGTCATTGACTGCAGCTGAGATCTTCCTGGCGCATTGGGTTTCTGCAGTGTTGAAGAGGATATGGTGGACGGCTTCCCCTATGAGGTGCCCGAAGAATACCAAAACCTGCCACTATTGAAGGGGAGAGCAACTGTGGATATGAAGGTCAAGGTTAAGGACAATCCTAATCTAGATGAGTGTGTCTTCCGTATAGTTCTAGATGGTTATAATGCACCTGTTACTGCTGGGAATTTCATAGACTTGGTGCAAAGACGCTTTTATAATGGCATGGAAATCCAAAGAGGTGATATTTCAGATCCTTCTTTGTTGATAGCGCTTATTCACCAAAGATTCTAACTTCTCTGGTCATCTTGAGAAATGAGAATTTTCTTATAGTGACGCTTTTCTGTTTTTCTATTTTGTATAGATATTCAATTCCAATCTAACAACGGTTGCAAGAAAAACAGGCTTATAGATTTTCTTTGCTTTGCTGCAGCTGATGGTTTTGTGGTTCAAACTGGCGATCCTGAAGGTCCTGCGGAGGGTTTTATTGATCCCAGTACCGAGAAGACCAGGACAATACCATTAGAAATCATGGTGGAAGGGGAGAAAGTACCTTTCTATGGAGAAACTCTGGAAGTAATCTCTCTCTCTCTCTCCAGGAAAAAAGATATCATTCATTTCCCTCTGATGATCCTGTCAAGCCTTTTTTTTTTTTCATTTAGCATTAAAACCTTTTTCTTTCCACTGTTTAAACCTGTATTTGCTTGCATTTCTTTGATTTCACTTCTAAACAAGAGTTTCTGACAGGAGCTTGGTCTATACAAGGCTCAAACAAAGCTTCCGTTTAATGCATTTGGAACAATGGCCATGGCTAGAGAAGTAAGAATTTGATTTTCAAGAGTATTTTCTCTGCGTTTATTAAGTTTTCATCAATCAGATCCGACGGTGACACAAGATTGTGCTGTTTTCTCTCTCGTTTTTTTTTTTCCCCCTCTAATCATCACATAAATTATTTTCAGGAATTTGAGAACAATTCTGCCTCTAGCCAGGTATTTTGGCTACTGAAAGAGAGTGAACTAACTCCCAGTAATGCCAACATATTGGATGGACGGTACGCTGTGTTTGGTTATGTGACAGAAAACGAAGATTTGTTAGCAGATCTTAAGGTTGGTGATGTGATAGAATCAATCCAAGTGGTATCTGGCCTGGATAATCTAGTCAATCCTAGCTATAAGATTGCTGGCTAGATAGCTTTCTTTTCTTAACTCTTTTCGTACGAACATTACGTATAAGAGTTATACTTTGGAGGGTTTTGTGCTTTTATGCGGTTCGAGTTCTAAGTTTGTTCTTGGTCGTCATCAGCATCACCATCATGATGCTTTCGAGAGAACTATAACATTCCATTGTACTGACATTGAAATATCAGATTCATTTGTATTAATAACATTCTTGTATTCCCACGATATGAGCCCTGCTATTCGTTATTTACGGAGGATATTCTTACTTGGTTGCTTAGGCTTTAGAATTTTGATCTTGGAACAACCAAACTGCGATAGAATTAAACCGACAGCGTGTAGAGAGCAATGACAATCCTAGATGTCAAAAAGACAATCTTCAGAGAAAAAGGGGGGAGAAGTACTTTTATTAGTCTACACTTTGAACAAATGCGGACGTCTTACATAATAATAAGGTCTTGAGACGATGCTATCTCTGAATAGCCAAAAAACGACATCCATTTTTCTGAAACGACATCATATCATGAAACGATAACATTGTAAAAAGGCCAAAACGATGATAGTTTGAAAAACGACAACAGATAGTAAACTTACAAATTTACAAGGTTTAAATACGATTTTTTCTCTTTTTGGTAAAGGGAAAATATCTCGCAGCAAATAACAACCCTTTTGAAAACATGACACCATCTTGAAAACGATAATATTTTTATCCACTTCAAAACCATAATTTCCTGAAAACGACAACTCTCTGGTATAGACACAGCATTGTGAAAAGACAACACCTTATATACTATCTTACAAAAGTACATGTTATACAATTACGATCTGGAGAAAACGACGACATCTCGAAAACGACAACTCTATGGCAGAAACGACAACACCGTGGGAAGGAAGAAAACTAGTATTCTGGAAAACGACATCATAATACAAAGTTGCAAGGTCCATAACGATAAAGACAACGTTCAGCAAACGACAATCGCTCAATGGCCAATAAATAATAATGATGACCCTTTTGAAAACAACAACTTAAGTTGAATATTGAATTCCTAATCATATGAAATTGAATACTGAATTTACTTTGGTTTTGTAATTTTCTCTTTAGAAAACAACAAAAACCCACAATGTTTCGAAAATATCATCTTAAAGAGACAGAACGACAAGGTTAGAAAAACTATACCAGAAAACAATGAATATTTTGGACATTCGTTTGGTTGATGGGGAAGAATTAGAATTAGAAAATGAAAAATAAATAATAAAGTTTCTTCTCTCTCTCTCATTCACTCTCAACAGGTCAGAGTCCAGACTCCTAATGCTGCAATCTTTTATCATTATTATTGTTTTAATTTTTTTCTGAAGCAAAAAGTGATCGTAGTAATTGAGAATTCCATACGAAGCATTTGTTATCACTCGTAAATTTCTATGGTTCAACTTTTTTTAAGGTTTTCTTTTAGGTTTATACTTTATACGATATCTAAGAAATTGGAACCACCAAATTTCCAGTGGTATAAGTTGTTAAGCTGAAGGGAACAAGTTTCGTTTTAAGACTATGTATTATAGAATACACACCATTCCCACCTCTTATTATTATTATTATTATTTTATTAAAAAAAAAAAAAAAGAGAGCTATAAGAGGAGGACGAACTTCATTTGGTAGCTGCAGGGTATCAAGTCATTAGCTGCGAGGTATTGAGTCATTGGTAACACCACCTCATTTCGAACCGGATTGAAACCCTACTCGTTTAAATGTCCCCCGCGACGGGTATCGATGAGGGTTGGATGCGAACCCCTCCTTGTCATCTTGTGCTAGAATCGCTTTCGGGCTTCTTTGCGCGAGCCTAATCAGTGGCAGTTTTGTCTCTCATCCCTACCAATAGTAACCGACCAACCTACTGCCGGAGTTCAAGAGCATGTCTTTTTCCATTATTGGTACCTTTCCAAACCGACGTCCAGAGAGATAATCAAAGCAGCATTAAGAGTAGGTCCCGTGCCTTATGGCTTATTCTAGGCATTTAGTTACAAACAAACAAAACTAACTCAGTTTGTCTCATTGTCTGCTTAACTAATTAAAAGCATCATTTTTCTTTTCTTCAGCCAAGTCCAATTATAAATGTCATGAACCAGCTCACATTAATTAGCTAAATACGACTTTTTCCCCTCCCACTATATTATATATTCATATGTCATCATTGAAAAACATCTGAGAAAAAAAAAAAAAAAAAAAAACTATTAAGTAGAAGCATATTCCCTTAAACACATTTTAAAGTCGTTAAGGTTTGTCCAACAGATTAATGAGTGATGTCGGCATTGGCCCCATATAGTCCCCACGATAAGGATGAAAAAGCTTTATACAAAATCTATAGTCCAATAAACAGAAATAGATGGCAGCATATTGAAGAGCCCCTCTATAGCCTCCACAGATTTGTATTTTCCTCGACTTAATAATTTACCAATCTGTTTTCCAATTGAATAAAGTACAAATTGAATTTTCTAGTACATTGACTGTCACGTATTTCCCTCCACAATCATACGATCTCTCTGCTTCAAGAAGGATTCACATCAATCAAGGTCCTCTGTACCGTCGGAAACAGAGACAACCCTGAGGCTGATCAAGAGGAATCATGCCTCCACCCTTCGACGTGTCGATGGCCTCCAACATGGCGACCACCTCGTCCATCTCCGGCCGCCTGTCGGGATTTGCATCCCAGCACCGCTTCATTACGTTTGCTAGAGAGCTCGGGCAACACCGCGGTATTTCAGGCCTTAGATTCTGTAGGTTTCATGTTTTTTTGTTTGTGGTGAGTTTCTTTCTGCTTTTTTCATGGTATTCCAGCCAAAAGAAAGATTGTTTTCTGAGCTGATAAGAGTTTTAAATACCTGGCGGACAACGGCTGATGTTACTTCTGAGAAACTAAGGTCGGGATACGGCATGTCACAGCAGTATATCTCCCACATGCAGATACCAAAACTATACACATCACATTTTCTGTTGTATGGATTACCGTTGAGAACCTGTTCCAGTCCAAATGAGATATACAAAACTGCTTGCGAAAGTAACAATCAAATCTACATTTAAGCAAGCCAGCAAGTCTCGGACTATGACTTGATTCAGAAGCAAAGCCCAGAGCAGGACAACAATGAATTGTCATCATTTAAAGCTTAATATGGATAAATTATATTTCTGTATCTTTTTCTTTTTTGGAAATTAAGGGTTCATTTGGGGCTAATAAAGGGCATACCTCTGGAGCCATGTAACCAAGGGTTCCAGTCTCTCCAGTCATATCATTAGGATTAGAAGCCTCAATGCGAGCAACCCCAAAATCCGCTATTTTCACCGTACGGGTCTTGTCCAGAAGCATGTTTTCTGTTTTTACATCTCTGTGCACAATCTTTTGTGAATGAAGATAGCTTAGCCTGCAAATATAGATAGATTGACAGCTTAATTGTATTGATGTTCAAATCATCAAAGACTTGTGTTTTGTTTCAAAAAAACAAAATTGATAATTAAGATAGATGGACTGTGCAAATCTAACCCTCTTGCAAGATCTAGTGCAAGTTGGACAACTACTTTGAATGCCAACTTCCTTCTTCGGTTCTTTATGAGGTAAGATTTCAGTGCACCCCCAGGACAATACTCCACAACTACACAACACATGTTACTAGGCATGCCAATTTGGCCATTTTCGGTTAGTATCTGTAGCTCCGATGAGCCCATTGTCGCCCCAATGAACTGCCAAGAAGGGAGAAAAAAAAAAGGAGGTTCGCGTGAACTGCCAAGGAGAGAAAAAATGGAAGAATTTCGCGTGAACAAGCAAAACAATGTCCACCAATTGCCCAACTTTGGTGAAACAAACAACCCAAAATCAAAGGCTTGTCGAAAGACAGACATTATTTTGTATAGTGACATTCATGCTCATGTCGCTTTTGTCTTGTTGACTATGCTCAACTGTAGTTGTACTTATTAGAACATAAAAAAAGAAAAGGATTATATGCTACCTTGGTAACATTAGGGTGGTCAAGTTTATGCCAAACTGCAACTTCTTGCGTGAAAGCAGCTCTTAGAGAAGCTATTTCAGCTTCCGATCTATGTCCTTCTTCCCCCCAATCAAGAAGCTTAACTGACAATAAAAGAGGAAGATTAACAGCTAACAACATCTTTTTATGCGTGCAATATAATTTGAATTTTAGTGAGACATTAATCTACATTATTAACCTTTATCAAATTTAATGTGACAATGATGGTCATAAGCTTCATTATAGACTCAAAACTAGAAATATTTTGGAATTAAATATTCAAATGGAGTATTAAATTCATGTGCCAACTTGAACTACTTATAAAGATGAGGTTTCAAAAACCCATCTGGCATTTTAATAGCTAGCCAGTACTGGTAAAGTTAAACATAAGAAACTGATTTCCATATGTTTGCTTTAAAGTTTCAAGCTTTTTGTCGCCACAAGGTGAGATATGAAACAAATGCACATATTTTAAAATTGACAAATTCATTTTTTTTTTTAAAGAAAGATAAAAAGAAAAAGAGAATAAAAACAACGGTGAAGTTAATGCAGCAGCTAACTACCAACTTATCCCAAACCGTGAATCACGGATATTTTATGGCGAGATCTGCAAGGGTCTATCACAAAGTTGCCCATTATTGACAAAACCAATGGTAAAAGAAAAGGAGGTAGTTGATAGAAGAGGAGAAAAAACAAATAAAAAAAGGGGATTATTCTAACTGTTTTCACCGAGAAAACTGAAATAAAGTGAGAAGTAATAAGTAACAAGTGTTTGTGTGATCTTGGCCTTCAAGAAAATTATGTACTTTCTATTTTCTGCTCAGATGAGTGGTGGTTATTTTTGGGCCAAGTCAAGTAAATTGTCTTTTTTAAGTATCGCTCTTATCATCTCCTGCATATTCTAAACAAGAAAGTAACACTTGAACTAGAGATAGAAAAAAAAAAAATTAAAAAAAAAAGTAAATCCTTTTGCCAGTAAACTAAGAAAAGCTTGAAAATTCTACTGCATACCAAATAAGACCACGCTTTAACAATTAAAATCTCAGATAGTTAGTTAAAATTTGGAACTTAGACAAAAAGAAAAAAAAAAGTTTAATGCAAAAACACCTGGAACTATGTTTTTCTGACAATTTAACAAAGACCAACAACATTAATGAATCTTTGCAAAGACCGAGTCTTTTTCCAGAAATAAGGAATTTTGAGAAATGGGTATATGTCATAAACATCCAAAAATCCTTGAAACAATTCTCAGAACAAACATAACTAAAAAAGAAGAAAAAAAGAAAAGAAAAAAAAAAGAGGGTTATACCAGCTACATCTTGGCCATCATAAACGCCTCTATGAACAGTCCCAAAAGTGCCACGAGCGATGACAGACTTGATGATAAGCTTAGAAGGGTCAATCTCCCAGTCTTGCCTTGCGGCGGTGTTATTGCTGTTGTTGGGCCTAGCGGTGGCGGCAGAAGCTTCTTCGTCTTGATCTCCTTTCTTGGCCTTCTCCATCGTCCATGCTCTGTTCAGATGCCTCTGCAGCTGCTCGTCCAAGCTCTTCAGATCTATCTGATCCGCTCTCACATACCCACCTCCACTCTCGCTTTTCTCTTTCATTTTTTCACAAAACCAACGCAAACCCACTTCGTATTATAGCCAGAGATTAATGGGTTTTCTATTATATATATGTTTTTTTTAAAGGACTACTATATATATATATGTGTGTGTGTGTGTGGGTATCTATATATATGTCTGTTTCTGTTCAAACTCTATAACTCTCTTGTTCTTGTTCTTCTTCGTTAGTGAAGGAAGAAGATGAATAACGATGGGATTATATTATGGAGGAATCGTACTAGTTGTGTTGTGCGTTAAAACTTGAACTTCCTTCCTCACTGAGTATCATCCATGTGGGCACATGGATTTTGCCTGAACACGACGTGTGTTACTGACCCACTCTTTTATTATTTAATGGGATTCACGGTCAATGTACCTTTATTTTTTGTTTTGTTTGGTTTATTTTTGTCTCTTTTCTTTTTTCTTTTTTTTCCCCCCCGGCCCGTAGCTTTCAAGAGAGTTATTAAGGGCTAATTTCGATGTGATGCTTGCGAAATAGTTCGTGACGTTTACAAGTTGTAGTAACCGTGATAAGGATTATATTTGTTGACTTTTATGCTTTGACTTATTCTTCACTAACGAGAGCCAACCCTTTTTTTTATGGTTGAATTTAGGGTGAGAAACGTAGAATGCTTAATTATGTTTACAACCATAATTATTTAGGAGTCGTTTGGTTTATAGATTAGAATTATGAGATTGAACTATTTTTAATTTACGTGTATTTTTTATGAGAGAAAATACTATAACGAATCATGAACCATAATTCAAATCATGATATGAATCTCCTTACAAAACGTCTCCTATGTACTAACTAATATAATTTATTTACGTGTTTGAATTTGCACATTAATGTAGAATGCGTAGTAATGTTTACAACCATAATCACTAACTTACTAATCAACATAACTTATTTGCGTGTTTTGATTTATTTGCGTATTTTGATTTGTAGGTTTAAATCCATACAATTTAATTTGAATAAGACTCACTATTCAAATTTAGGTAAGTGAATAGTTGATTGTCCATCATCTTGCCATTTTTTTTTATTTGATTGGTCTAAATTTCTCACAATGATCAAACAACCCTTTTCAACACGGATTTATTTATTTATTTATTTGGAAATAGAGTAATAAAATAGTCTAATTATCATTTCTCACAATGATCAAACAACCCTTTTCAACACGGATTTATTTATTTATTTATTTATTTATTTGGAAATAGAGTAATAAAATAGTCTAATTATGCTTATCATCTAAACTGATATCATTAATTTTTTTTAGGGATGTAGTTAACTCACAATTCACATATAATACGTCTCTCCTAATGCACTTATTTATTCCTTGTCGCTCAATAGTGCTGCATGCAAACGGCCAACGTCACAAAACACGCCATTTTCTATTAGCTCACCCATGTCAGTGTTTGGATATGTACAACAAGAATCATGATCCTTTTACCTCAAAAAATGGGAAAACCATGAGTTATATCCCAAACATCTCCGACCCAATTCATCACTAGCAATCTTCAATTTTATGGACATGTTATGCCATTATATTTTTCTTTCCTTTTGTTTTAATTCTATTTGAGGATGATGTCAACTTGGTGGAGAAGATAAATATCATTCAATCCAATTCTATCACTTTCTCAGTGTAAAAAACTGTTTCTGATCAAAATTTTTACCCAATAATAAAATTTCCATGATTAAGAAACATATCTAGGATGTCATTTCTTTGCATTTTTTAGTTCTTTACTATATTTTCTTGTTATCCAGCCATAGCAATACACGTTGCCTCCACATGGTGTATTTAATCCAACACAGTAATTCGCAGAGGTTTTGATTTGACCATGGGCCTTGAAAGAAAGCACCAATCCGATTATTTATCTATATCAATTTTAAATACAAGTTTAAAATATTAGCCAATCATTCACTCAAGACAAATATATTGCCTTTTATCCTCTTTTTTCCCCCTCCTATTTATACAAAAGAGAAGTTCCACCGCGAAATCACAATTTAAAAATTCTGCTTCCCAATTTGCTAGGGGATGGCCAAGATTTTAGCTGATTAAATAATTGTTGGCCATTGATTGGATGAGAGAAAAGAGAAAATGAGTGGTCAAGGTTGCTCCGTGTTTATACCAAATTTAGGGTGTAAAAGTACGAAATTATATTATGCAGACGTACATAAGGAGATCTATATTAGAGCAAATATGTGGTTTATAAATGGGGAAGGTTGGATTTTAGTGGTACTAATCAAATAAAGAAATAAAAAAACCTCCAAAGGAAAGCAAAGTTGTACCACCCTTAAGAAGTAGAGCCACATGGGGCCTCAGAATACTTGATTTGTGCTATGCAATAATGTCATTTGCTGTCTAAAGAGGATGCTCGGGGTAGCCTTTTAGAAATTTTAACAGAAAAACCAAACCGATTATTAGAGAACATATGTGATAAAGTGAACTACTAATGAATGCGTTTTTATCGAGTTTTAAGAATCTAATAAAGCTCATATGCAAACCATCTAAAGCAAGCAGATGCAAATTTGAAGAAAGCGTCCACTAATTCTGTTTGATTGAAAAAAAAAAAAAAAAAAAAAAAAATCTAAGCATTGTACTTAAAGGACTTGGAATCAAATTCCATCTTTACTATTTATTGTTATTGCTAATTATAAATCCATCCATAAAGTCTTCACCAATGTTAAACACCACTAATAATAAAATATGCGTCTCACTTGTGAATCCCGTATTATAGGACCCGCATTCTGTTAATGAGTAGTACTCAACACTTTTGATGTCCTATAATATTATTCTTAAGAGAGGAAAGAAAAATAAAAAAATAATATAATAAAAAAAGAAAAAAATATAATAAATAAAAAAAAGAACTTGCTGAGGATGTGCATGTTATTGAGAATAATTCAGATTTAGGCCTTTAATGCCATAGCCTACAGGGCATGAAATGTGGATATAATCATTTGAGCTAAACTAAACCAGCCAACTGCTTGATATTTTTGCCGACAGTTAACATTGATCCTGACTGACTAGTAAGAAGTTGTAGTAGTGTTATTTTGGGAAGAAAAAAGGCAAAAAAAAAATCAATTGCCATATAAACACTATAGTTTTTCCCAAACAACAACAAGCACGTGAAAGCCTACACCTTTTGACCTTAATGTGGCATCAAAAGAAGAGGTTTTAAACAATGACTGTGAGGGTCACGGGGTCCAAACAAACAACAGATCATTTCCACTTCCACCAGTTTTTATCATGATAGAGATTAGAGAGCAGCTAGTAATTCCCGTGATTTTTAGCAGCCCATCTGCGGTCCTTTCCTTTCCCAAGAGACCAGATTTTATCTTTTACCACCAGATAGATACCGCTGAAACCAAAATATTCCCTTTTATTTTTTGTTTACTATTAGAGGAAAAAAGGGGAAAAAAATCTAAAAAAATCTTACTCCAGTTAAAATGCTTCAAAGGGTAAGTATCAATAAAAGCTAGCGACAGACAAAAACATAATAATGGTCAAACTTTTACAGAGATAGCAGCGTAGCACACAGGAAGTAACCCACCTCAAATATAGTACTCACAAAACCATAGTTGGGAAATGATGATCATCTTCAGAACAATTACACAGGAGAAGGTTTTATATAAGCAAGCCTTTTTACCATATTTCAGCAAAGATGACACATAATATCTGTACAAAACTTTGGGGTAATTATAAATTCCCAGTTGAGAAAAATCATCATCAACTATACACATAATATGTAGTTTGCTGGAATATATTGTCAAAACTCATACGCCTCTTTGTGGTTTTCTATATCCATGCTACAAAGCAGAATCCTCCATTAGTGTCCTTACTCATATGCGCCGTTTCTTTTTCTCTGGTGTTGCGTGCACTTGCGCTTTGATTCCATATGTTCTTAACTGGAAATTTTCAAAGGCCTCAGAGATGGCTCCCACCTGTAGATTGTGGAAAATGAAGGTCAAAATGGATAAAACTAAAGCGAGGAGAGACATTATGCTCAAATTGGAGTAGTGTTTTGATTTACAGACCAATTCGGGCTTTTTGGCATAGACCCTCACTATCATATCTTGATAAGATGTAGGCAGCAAGTGACTAATACGCTCATCAGGTATGCAAAATTTCTCATCACTCTCATAATCCTGTGTAAACATCAAATCTTGTAAGATATTGCAAAGAAACTCCAATCCGTTCATAAATAACGGCAATTACAAAACAAAAGTTCTTCCTTTTGTGTTAATTTTGATCAGTTCCACAAATAGTAAATCACTAGTCACCTCCATTTTTAGTAACCAAGAAAGTGCAGCAGTTGTGTAGCAACATGCAGTTACTGTCGCACAACCATCACTACTTCCAATTCGAAAAATAAGAAAAGATGTGATATTCAAACGTAACCAAGTCCTTATAAGACAAAGTGCATATACACAAATAAGACCAGAAAAGGTTCTAGACGCGTACCTTGAAAAAATGGATACTGGAAGGGACACATGCATAAAAAGAAAAATACAGAAGATTTTGTAAATGACAGTTCTAAAGTTAAAATCAGAAGAATGTATGGGTGGCTCATTATCATCATTTCTAGACTACCTTTCAAGAGGATTATTCCTTCCGCGAGTCAAATCAATCTTAACGTTAGTAACAGCAACATCCTCCTCTCGGAGTATCACTCCACCATTTTTCTGTCCAATGGAAAACAAGATATTGATATCAGTGATTGAAGTTTATAACTTGGAAAGAAAGTCCTATCATTTTGTACTTGTGCAAGGTTTGAGCAAGCACCTGAGAACAGACAATATCTTGAGCTGTGACATTTTTGAAGTTTTCTAGCCTGTCCTTAGGTACAGCATACTCGTTAACGAACTGTCACAGAGAAAAGAAAAACTTAAACTCATAGAATAATAGTGCCGGCCAAGAAGGAAAAAAGAGAAACAAACACACATATAATCGTATCAAATCATGAACGATCCCCCATCAAATGACATGATGTGATTGGTATTCTTGTTTAAGAGCAAATATAATTGTAATCAGCAAAAAAGCTTAACCACCTGGTATAGATTTCTCCTTCGTATTCGCAGAATCAGATCCCTAGCTTCCTTCAATTCTTGATCAGGAGCAGTCTCAATAGTTTTGATTATCGTGTCATCTAGCTGTGTTTTCAAGAGTATTAGAACATTACATGAACAATGGCAAGAAATCTTTTCTGACTTAAGAGTCAACAACTCATGTTAAAGAAGCTTCTAAACCTTCCAGTATTCTGAGGGGTCATCTATATGGGACGAAATTTCAAGATAACTATTTGCTTGCACCAACGCATCTACTACCATAAGCTCTATTGCCTGCAAAGAAGATAAAAAATCATCAGTTTAGAAACTCTCCAACTTCAATATAACAGACAAAAGAAACAAACGTAAAGGTAGATGTATAGCTGAACTTGAACATGGAGAAGGATATATATGATGGATTGAAGAATTATCTAAGTAATACCTTTACTTTTGGATGCATATAAACTGTTCGGTAGAGATCGGCTCGAGTGGCGAACAACTTGTGGATGGTTAGGTCTGGTAAAATTACCAAAACATTACAAAAGAATAACCAAGACAAAGTATCAGTGTAATAGATTAATTTGGCAGAATACTAACATTCCTTGGCCCGATAGCAAATCTCATCATCCAAAACCCGCATAGTCTCCAGTAACCTGCAAGACATTAAGTACATAATGCTAAAATAATCACCTTTGAACCTGGAAAGTACAGTCATAGTGAAAAACAAGTAACTTCAAATATTTCAACAAAACCTTTGAGACTCGAAGTTGCATCCTAGCCCACAAGCTCGGCAGTCACGGACAATATAATCAAACCTAGAAAGGGCAAATCAATAAGATATCCAAACTATGCAAAATCCAAGCAGATTTGGGTGGGGGAAGGGAACTCACTTGTCTACATCAATTCCATTTCGGCCATTTGCAACAATATCATATAAAAACTTCTTCTCCCTTGATGCCTACACATCACAAGCATAATTGGAAAATGCCAACGGAAACTGTTTGGAAACATACATTGTTCCGGCTTGAAATTTGATTTCGTGAGGAAAAACAAAGTAAAAGAAAAAGGCTCTTACTTGTGGCTGTTTAAATTCAGAGCTAGCCAGAACCATCTCCTGCATCATGATGCATCAACCATTACAAATGAAAAACGCACATATGTGGTTGTAAGCATAGCCTACCGGAAATTCTTCACCCGACTCCACCATAACGTGAAGAGTTCGAATCCCCCCGCCCTCAAGTTAAAAACAAAAAAACAAAAAAAACAAAAAATAATAATAATAATAATAAAACGCACATTCTCTTCCATTCATTTATAAGGAGATTATTCTACTTTAAAATGGACATGCAACATCCTCTCAAAACCACCAGTAAGAGTTTTATTTTCAATTCTTCTGGACCATAGGTTCTTTTTAGTGTAGCTTGAAACATTAGTCATTTTCTCCGGTTCTTTTTCAAGGAAAAAAAATATTAAACTACCTATAAAAAGCCATGTAACATACCACTTAATTGATTAAAATGATCAATCAACTTAGCCAACTTCGTTGAAATTCTTTTACGCTTTTAAGAAATCATTATTGCAGTCAAATAAGCACAGCGGATCAGAAGCACAAGCAGTTACCTTCACTCTTTTGATCATTTCAGAGTCAACATCAATAGAATGCTCATCAACAATGTGATCAACCATCTTCACTGACATTTGCTCATGAGACCTAGGATGTACAAACCAAACGTTATTTTCAGCTAAAGCATTGTAGCCAACTTTACTCTTCTTGTATTAAAAAAAAAATAATAATAATAATTTTAAAAAAAAAACGTAGAAACAACATTGAAGGAAAGAAAAAAAGGGATTGGAAGTTACAAAGGAAAAGACAAAGATAAGAGGATTCTACTGAAGAATGTAAAACATACCAATCAGAACCAATGCAAACCTGAGGAAGAAAGTCTCGTTCAAACAAGTGACTAAAAGGCCCGTGACCAACATCATGCAACAGTCCTTCAATTAGGAAAACAAAATGAATGAGATGGCCTAAAGTTGAAACAGTAGAGGATTTTTCCCCCGTCTTGGACAAAGAGTAGACAATTTATTTACCAGCGAGCTTCACTGTTTGGATATCAAAATGATCAATATCAAGCTCCATTCCCTGACAGGAGATGCAAATTATTTGTAAAACCACACTTGAATTTCAAAAAAATTATGTTAATTATCATGGTCTGATATTAGGGAAAGAAAATACCTGATAATTTTTCAGCCTTTGAACAGCTTCACCAGAAAGGAAATACACCCCAAGAGAATGTTCAAACCGGGTATGTACAGCCCCTGGATAAACCATGTGGGACACTCCTGAATTGTGGGAAAAAAAAAACATATATGTAGATTAGCTTTCTTGGAAGTGCTTCATCTCCAACAGTAATGCATGCAAAGGTATGAAGCCTTGAAGCATAAAACACAACATATAGGCTCAACAAGCAATCTCACCACAATGGAGGAGAACAGTGAAGGACATAATCACACAATTTCTCAAAAAAAAAACATGAAGATAGTGACCTAAGTTCTTCGATGATTTGGCATAACTCGATAAATTGTGAAAGGCCACGAGTAATGATTTAGGAATGACAAAGTCTATGCACTTAGGGCTCATAGCGGGAAAGAACTTCAAAAGGCGAAAAGAGAAGTAAACAAAATGGTGGTTCCTTTGTAGCTTTAATTAGTTTTCTGTAGTATAGGTCATTTTTCTTTTCTTATGGTCTTTGATCCTTGACGGATTCACTAGTCTTTCGCATAAACTTTAAATTATTTCCTTTCATTTGTTTTTAAACACTGAATCTGGGTGCGGAGTTTTCACTTGATACTCCGACACTTTCAGTTAAAAAAAGGCAATCTATGCGCAAAAATTATAAACAAACAGCTTCAAAAACACTACCAGGAAACAGGATTCTCAAAACATAAAAGTTTTGCCTCCCCTGTTTTAGAAAAGGATATAACATAAGAAAATACATGAATTTCCCATTCCTTCAGTAAATTCAAAATGTTGATATGATCCTGACTGTTGGATTTTACATAACAATTATCCATTAACATTTACAGCAAGAAAACAATACCGAATGCATCTACCGGAGTACCGTGAAATGCACAAATATTTTAATGAGCATTACTATTCGCATTTTCAACATAATTCCATCTAGCAGCCTTCCAAAGCTTAGAATTGAGAATAATTTTTCTTATCGGAGTTCTTGGAGAAAAGTTTACAAGTCATAGAAACACTCACCAAGTTGTTTGAGGTCACGAAGCCTATAATCGGAAACAAAACGAAATCATTAAATTAATTCCCTTTCAACTCTTGGCATAGTAACGAATAATTAAAAACAGTTCACTTGTATACATATAAGCCACTTGCCTTTGGAACTGCTCAGTATCAATAAACTTCAAAGAGAGCTGCAACCACGCAAAACAACAGCAACTAACATCAACAATCACATTCTTGTGACTATCATTTTCACTCTTTGACCGGAAAAAAAAAATATATACATAAAAAAGAAAAACAAACTAAAAGCGTTGAGCACGATTTCCACTAGAGTTACAGAAATTCTCATTCCATACCGCCATTTACGTTAACTTCATTAGAAATCGACATTTCTTCAGATTAATAATTTATTCGAGTAATCAAATTGGATTCACTCGACGTTTAGAGAGAGAAAGAATGGAGTACGGGATCGAGGAAAATGTAGCCATGGACGTTGTCGTGGACGTGCTTGGAGAATCTGAGAATGTGAGAAGAAGAGACACTGTAAACGCGATAGAGTGATGCGTCGTCGTTTTGGTCAGCTCCCATGGCGCTTTGCTGAATTTAAGACTCCAGAACAGAGGCGCACACAGAAGCCAAGCGATTACCGACGGCTCAGGAATGTATGGACTAGAGAACAGTACAGTCTGTACGGTATGTTAGGCCGGCGGCAATATGGTTACGGCGTGACAACGCGACTAAAAAAATACACGAATTTCACGGATTAAAGTTGAGAAAAAAAAAGTTCAGGTCAAAATTAGATCGATATGAAATTGATATGAAAAATATAGGTCAATTTTGAGTTAGACCCGCCTAATCCGAACACGATACAAAACTCATAAAAAATTAAAAAATACATATATTTTTCATTACATATTTTTAATTTTATTATGAATTTGTGATATCATAATAATTATACTCAAAATTTTATATTATTATTTATTTAATTTTAATAAATGTTATTATATTTTAGTGTGATGAATTTTAAATTAATTCTAATAATTAAAAAACTAAATAATAAAAGTATATAATTTTTGGATTAATTTCATATTGTCTCAATTTATAAAGTGATCGTATCGTATTCGTGTCGTAATTTTTTAAAAATTTTATGTCATAAATTATATTCAAATTAATTATAAATTAAAAAAAATAATCAAAATATGATACGTAACTCGAATTGTCCTTCCGGTATGTATATATAAAGCCGAAACGTGTGGAACGTAAATGAATAAACAAATACAACTTTCCCAAAAATTAGAGAAACAAGTCGGAGGGAGACGACCGTTGACGAGACTAAAACGCGTATCTTTTATTATATGATAGATTAGAAAAAGGATACATTTCAATAATTCTCTTTCTTTTTTCAAGGAAAAAAACAAAGTTCTTTTCAAGGGGTAAGCTGTGGTGTATTAATGATGTATTGATCTTTTCGTTTTAATGAGGTTGTCTTCTTATTTATTTCTTAATTTTCCTAATGTAGTCTTCAAAATTGTTATTTCCAGAATAAATACAATCTATAATAAATTTGTTACTGTCATTTGCATGGTGACGTTGTCGTTTTAGAGGTTTTGTCGTTTTTAAAGTTAATGTCGTTTCTGAGATGTTGTCGACTTCAAAATATTGTCGTTTAAAAAAGTCATCGTAACCATAAATGTTAGTTTAGTCCTAGTCATTTCTCATAATGTTGTTGCTAGCCGTTTCGAAACGTTGTCGTTTCCCATCCTTGTCTTTCATCTGCATTAACGTCGTTACTATACATTATGTCGTTATCTGAATTAATGTCGTTTCCAAACATCATGTCCTTTTCCTACCTGTGATCTACTTAAAATATGTTGTCGTTTCATAGGATAGTCGTTTCCTACATATTGTCGTTTTCCTAGCGGTAATCTCTATTAAAATATTTGTCGTTTTCCAAAATATTGTCGTTCTAAGAATTTGTCGTTTTCGAGATGTCGTCATTTCTCTATTAAAATATTTGTCATTCCATAGAATATTGTCGTTTCCAAGAATTTGTCGTTTTCCAGATGTCGTCATTAGTATGTAATTGTCGTTTTCTATCTTTAAACATTGCCTTTTGCAGTTTATGTCGTTTATTCGATATTGGGATCAAGAAGTATTGATGGAAAAAAAACAATAAATAAAAGTATAATATGTACTGAAGATTGAAAAACGAGAGACAAAATCAATGAAAGAAGAGAGAAGGTTAGGAAGTACGAACAGGATCGAGGAAAATGTTGCCGTGGACGTTGTCGTGGACGTGCTTGGAGAATCTGAGAGCGTGCGGCTGCGAGGATTTCAAGCCGTGAAGCGGGGAGAGAGGTACGTCGCCGTTTTGCGAAGCCCCCATTGTGCTTCAGTCTTGGGAAAGGGACACTCTCAGAGCTCAGAATTAATGGTTATGGAGGAGCTAAGCAGAGTTGTATTTTGTGTATTGGAATTTGGAAAGGGATTATTAAGGGGATAAGGAATCGCAAACGCCGTTCTGTAGAGAGAGAAAATGAGAGAGAGAGAGAGAGAGAGAGAGGCTTATTTATTTATTTATTTATTTGTTTATATGGGGATGGTGCGTTTAAATTTGGGGCATTTGCATTAAGCGGTGAAGCGGGGCCGCTAAATCGTGGGGAGAATCTTTTGCGTGATTCTTGCACTTCCTCTAGAGTAAAACTAGTAAACCATTACTATTTACTACCATCATGTGAGTGTAAACTGCTAGTTTACTAACAGTTTAGGCCATGTTCATTTCACCGATTCGAGTTTAGAATTTAAATTTTGTTACAGTAAAAAGCTCTCAGAAACAATCACATCTAACTTTTTTGCTACAGTAAAAAGCTCTCACACAAAATTACATCTCAACTCGAATTACAAACTCAAATCAGCGAAGTAAACAGACCCTTATTTTACGATTTTCATTTCTTTTTCCTTCCTTTTATTTGTTTATTTATTTGTTTTGGGCGGGGGGTGTGGGTTTACATATATGTTCATTTGATACAAGCTTTTGATGTCTCATCAAGCAGGGGGTGTTTACCGATTACCAATTAGGGATCTTTTTTGACTGACCGACCCATTAATAGGGTTAATTTTTTATTATTAAATTCGGTTAAAATTCTATTAAATTAAAAATACATACAAAATAAATATATTTTTTATGCATATATAACAATTGAAAATTAAATAACGAATTAATAGTTATTCTTTTTTTAGTTAATTCTTACCAATTAACTGTTGGTTTCTCAAACTGGGTTTTCAAAAAAAAATTGTGCGAAAACGTGGTATCAATCGAATCACATAAATCAAAATTTAATGCGATCATTATTTCATGTTAATTTAACTATAAATATATTAAAGAAATGAATGAGAATTTGACCGTCGTTCGATTATGACATAAATCTTGAACTCTTCCAACAACGTCTTGAGCTCTTAAATTCCAAGAACACCACGGTTCTTTCTCAATGTATCTCCGGATTAACGTGAACTCAAACGTGTGGGCGTTCTAATGGGTTTCCCAACACATGAGATGGATGAATAGGGAGGTCACCTATAGTTATCACTTACTTTTCTCAAAAGTATGTGATAGCACTCTAGAAATTTTCCCTTTTGGTTTTTCTTTTTGTTCTCCCATTTTTCACCCTTTCTCTTCTCTGGAAAAAATCCTATTAATCCACCCTCAGGATTAAAAAACCGTTCACACTGAGGAACTCCTTCCTCTATATCTGTGACCTTTTCCTCCGTTGCACGTTTCCTCCCACTTCCATCTTTTTTTTTTTTTTGAGGAAACGTGCACCTGCACGTTTCCTTTCTTATATATATATATATATATTAACGAGGGGAGGGAGAAGGGAAGGTGGAGAAAAGAATTCTCTCTAAATTCATCCACTTAATTTAAAACAATTTTAAATTAATTTTAATATTAATTAATCAAATTAATTAATATATGTGTATTTAGAATTCTCAATTCTATATTAATAATCATAACCTAATATGATATATTCAGTTCACATTAATCTTATGGAGCCATTAAGAGGAACTATGGACATTATAATTTTAAACTCCAATAATTTTGACAATTAATTAACACCTTAATTAATATGTCAAAATTATTAATTCCAAATTACTCCACTATAAATTT